GTAACACATATTTGTTAGCATGGAATAAAATTATACTGGAGTGTAACATGGAGTGTATGTGGAGTGGGCATATATCCAGCTCATCTAAAATACAGTCATTTCATGGAAGTGTTAAGCTGTTAAAACGTATTGCTACTAAGAAACAGTTGTTTATAATAATAATAAGCATTGTTTTTCTGCATGACAGAAGTAGGAAAATGTCATTATTAACGCTGTCCATGATTTGAACAAAGATAGTCTTTGTTTCTGTCTACTGAACGAGATATTTATATTCATTGTTTTTGAGAAACTAAAATTGGAAAACTGAAGGTAAATATTGCTCTCAATCCTTTAGCACATTTAAGTCTGCGGGGTTCAGATTAAGCAGTGGTGGTGGTGTTGTGCAGTTAGTCAGCACTATGTAAGGCACCAAATATTTTAAAACAGACTACCAAAAATATTATGGTGGTGTCACTTTGGCTGAAGAGCTGCACATTTTCCCAGACTTTCCCTCTTGCCCTTTACTCCATCTGCATATGCTACAATTCATAGAATTCTACATTAGCTTGGGTTGGAGAAGCCTTTTAAAGACAATCTAGAACAGCCTCCCTGAAATGAGCAGGGACATCTTCAGCTCAATCAGGCTGCTCTGAGCTCTATTCAACCTGTCCTTCAATGTTTCCAGGGAACCTCTCTGGACAACCTGTTCCAGTATTTCACCTTTCTGACTGTAGAAAATTCCTTCTCTATATCTAGCCTGAATCTATTATCTTTTGCTTTAAAACCATTGCCCTTTGTCCTATTGCAATAGTTCCTCCTTAAAATTCACCATCTTTCTTGTAAGCCCCCTCTAAGTACTAGAAGGCTGCCATAAGCTCTCCCCAGAGCTTTCTCCTCTCCAAGCTAAATAGCCCCAACTCTCTCACCCTTTCTTCATGGAAACATATTTCATCCCCCTAACCATTTTTGTGTTCCTATTCTGGACCCTCTCCAGCAGGTCCATGCCTCTGCTCTGCTGGGGCCCCAGAGCTGGATGCAATATTTCAGGTGGAGTCTCACCAGAGTGGAGCAGAGCAGAGGGCCGGAGTTACCTCCCTCAACCTGCAGCATGCCATACTGCCTGTTTATGCAGCTCGAGATACAATTGGGACCAGTCAGCTTGGTGTTGTCTGTAAACATGGTAAGGCAGTGCTTGATCCCTTTCTCTGTGACATTGATGAAGATATCAAGCACTACCCTTCCCAATACAGACCTTTGAAGGACACCTCTCACCACCAATCTCCATCTGGACATTGAACAAGATTGAGTTACCAGCTCCTGACTTCAGCAAGTTTTGTTAGCTAAGAGTGCTTGCATCTCATTTCTTGGTATCCTGCTGTTACTTCTGCCTTCCTGAATTTCAAGGTCAGACTGGAGTTTTGTTGCATTAATGAAGCTTCCTCATGAAGTATCCTTGTTTCCAACCCAGCAGCTACATGGTACTCATGTAGCCTTAGATGAATTGAGTGCCATCCTACTGCTGACCCACCTGAGCCTCCAGTGGGGCTCCTCAGGGCGTGACTCCTGCTACACCATCAGGGAGGGCTGCTCCATCAACTCCATCAAGCCATCAACTCTGCGCTTCTAGCTGTGTTCAAATCAGCAGCCACAGCTTTCATTCATAGCCATACCCCAAATTCTTATATCTCCCCTATTCCCCTGTGTCCTAGTTCATTAATCCTGCTCTACTCTTCCTCATCAGTCCTGTTTGTACTTTATCCTTATTTACAAATCCCCCTGTATCTACCCACTGAAACTTCCCCTCTTTCCTCCTCTTTCTTCATTAATTCTCTCTGAGGCAGGCTGAAAGTCTCAGCAGGTTTACCTCTTTTAGCTGGCATCTTTTCATTCTCTCTCAGGAATGGAGAGGTGCCAAAGCTCCTTGAGGAGCTCAGGTTTTTTCCTCCCAAACCCATCCCATCCCAGACTTCTTACAGAAAAACCACAGTAAACTGCTGAAAACTTAAAGGAAAGATGCCATCCTTACAGGATAACCTCTGGTTTCTGCTGAAAGATCCTGGTAAATGCCCCTCACTTCAAAAGAAGTGCATCAATACAAAATGTCTGCATCAAGTGAAGGAGTCTACATCAAATAGCACACGTTCTGACAGAGAATTCTTTCAGATGATTACAACACTTAAAAATGTCTTAACTGACACATGTAATATACTAATTATTTGACAGTGCATAATATCTTTATTTAGAACAATAAAGCATATGTATATAATGTAAATTCAAAATCTGAACTGATATAAAAAGGGATCTGGGAAAACATCTATCTTTAAGAGAACACATATGTACATACACATCACAATTTATAAACTCTGTTGATTACCTTCAGTCAGAATGTAACTATGCAAAACTGTGCTGACATTTACATTAAAATAAATGAATCTGCCCATTATGCAACCAGTAAATGTCTGCGTCTCTATCACTAAAGAGTCTGAATCTTCTGCGTTCCATTAATTTGATAACAAAATAGCAACTTGACACCATTACTGTAAATCTGCATTTAAGAAAATTGAAACAGATTCCTGAATTGAAAAATGTTGTATAATTCTTAAATATAAATCTAACTCAAAATATCAGTATTTTATGAGTACAGTTAAATTTTCAATTTAATAATTCTATTTTGTGTACTGAACAGTTTCAGCATATTATGTAGAGCAACAGAAAAAACAGAGCTGCTGCAGATGAGAATCTAAAATATGTGCAGGTTTTACAGATACTCCATAGTAAAGCACTTGCTTATAAAATGACCTTGTGATGAAATAAGTACCATTAACTCATCCAAGTAAACACACATCTAAAGTAGAACAGTTACTCAGTATGACTATCTGCTTTTTTATTCTCACAAGGCCACTAGTTATTGCATGCAAATTCAACTATTTCAAAGGAAACCTAAAAATGTTATGTTTCTCACCAAACCACAGATAACCAAAAGCCAAATTTGGTTGACTTTTATATTAAAAAAAATAGAACCCTTTTTTTCCCAATTTTATTTTAAGAGGGAGTGTGTTGATTTTCCAACAGTATTGATGCATGGGCTCTGTCTACCCAAAAAGAAGACTGAAAAACTGATCACTCTTTAGAAATTAAACGTCTTTAGAAGTTAAGAAGCAATTAAAGGTCTATTTCTGCCACCCCATCTCCAGCTGAAGAGTACCTTAATCTATTTCCATTGATTTCAAAGATGTCTCACAAGTCAGCAGTCATTCAGAATCGCACTGATGTCCCAAGTAAAGATCTCCTCAGTGGGCACAGAAAGTTCCCAGCAAATTCACAATTCCACTTCAAAGTGCCATGCCATCTGGTGTATCCACGGCTGTCCAGAAGTCTCCTTCTGCTTTGAGAACACCCAATCAGATCTCTCCTCTGTTCAGATCTCTCAAAAGGAGGGCACAGAATGGGAAAATCATGTGGTCCAACAACAGTTCTGCTACTCCAGGTGTCATATGACTTTCAAGCACATTCAAAGAACAATGTTTGTGATGTAAAGTCAGAAGTTTATACATGAGCTTTCTTGTTGTTCTCATATAACTTAAAATTTACCTTGCTCCAAAGAAGAGATTAAAGTATGACATTATTTGAAAGTGACTTACTTTAAGATGTTGTTGCTCTTGTTTATTGTATGCTTCAATTCATAATTGATATTTTCTATAGTACTGAATATTAAGAAGCCTAAAATATTGTGCTTTTGAATATCAAAGTATAATTTGGGGCACACCGATATGACCCAAATTATCTGTTATTATTTGATTTTCTAGAAAGAATGCATTTAGAAAAATGAACATTTTTTATCAAAAAGAACATAAATAAATACAAGATTTTGGTTTTGTTGAATCTAAGAAAAAAGTCCCAAACCCTCAAATGCATAAGCTAGCCTCAAGAGCACATTGTATGCAGTATTTAAGGTTTTCATACAATGTATAAGGATAATAGTTTCCATTTACTGTGAATACTTTTCCATTCAGTCAAAACCATTACACAGTTATTCTCTGCATTACCAATAAGGTGCAAATTTCAATCAGTTAGGTCATGCTGACATTTCTTTTAGGGTAACTCTTAAATAAGTTTGAAACTCAGAATCTGGGGGCCTTTTGAGTAAAGAACTACACAGAGCCAAAGGACACTCAGCTGAGGAATTCCATTGTTTGAGGAATGCACTCGCTTTTTAGAAGTGATGAGCAACCCTAGTTATTAACTGGTGAGTGCTCCAGCATCTTCAGAATAAATATGAAGGTCTGATTCTGACACTAAGCTTCTTTTGATCCAGTCTAAGACAATTTCCTCAGGTGACATAAACCCCAAAGTTATCCTTAATGGAACTATGATAATTTATACCAGCTAAGTAGGACTTGAGGACCCTTTTCTGACAACCATGAAGTGCAAAAAGGGCCTGACTATAAATAAAAATTCCACATGATCAAATCCTTCCATCAGTGAATTTATGAGAAATTTCAACATTGATTGCAGTAGGGTCACAATTCCACACAGTGTGGTTACATGCCACATCATTGAGTATGGTAAGCTTCTGAGATTTTTTCTTTTTGTAAGTATGAAAGACAGTTTTACCAACAATACATACATACACACACACACACACACAAACACACACACGTATATATTATATGTATGACATATTCTTTTTATGCATGTTTCTCAGAAAATTGAGCAGAAGATTAAAACTTTCACAAGAACTCTTAAAAAATTTAGTAACTATACATTTTAAGGAGAACTCCAACTTTATGCAAAACTGTAAAAGGGTTGTTTTTGGTTTTGGGTTTTTTTTTTTTTTAAGTTTTCAAGTTATTTAACCTAAAACTCTTGCTGACCTGGTCAGTATCACAACAGATGACAGTTTGTCACTTCATGTGAGCCTCTACCCTTTACCCTTCTGAATTACCACCCCTAATACAGGTAAATAATTCATATTCATTATCTGGGAAGAGAGAATACGAAAAGATGCACAACTACACTTATAGCTTTTACCACGGTATTTTTAGGATTTACTTGAAAATGCACATCTGTACATCAGTCCTGTTCATATTCCATGGATACTGTAACAGTAATAGATGCAGAAGACAGGTGGGAAACAAAGCCTTTCTCTTTTGTTTCAAAAGAATTAACTTTCAAGAGTGGAGAATGCCAGGATATTAAAGCTTACTAATCACTTAAAACACAATGCAAGCATTAATTACAGCTGATGTAAGTAAAAGCTAAATACACTCTCAGGATCTTTCAGATTTTCTATGCTATACATTTAAAGACAAGGTATCAATGGCATGCATCTTCAGAATTTAAAATGCATTTTACAGGTTTGTCTTTATTGTGACATTTGAACGCAATTCAGACTCTTTGCCTTATCATGACTGGAAATTTCACCAGTGTTCACATACCCAGCAGTTACTCTTAATTCTTCGAAGCTCCGTGAAGTACATTCACCTCCTTTTTACTTTGTCTTCATCCAGTATTTGCTTCTCCTGAACAGAGACCACCAACGCTGAAGATTTCTTGAGGCTTTCTGGGGTGGGCAACCAGCCACCTGGCACCCGGTAGAGACCACGTGTCGCTGTACACACAGCCTTTGACAGGCATGAACACAGCTCCTTATAAGTCTAAGTCTAGAACAAGAGCTCATGGCATGACTTTGCTTTCAAGTTTTATATACAATATTGAAGAGTATGTTATCTGTATCCATTTCTGCATTTTCTGTCAGTTCAGAGACCTTCATCTGAAGACATCAATTTAAGGTAAAGGACACAGAGTTTAAATTAAGGATGCAAAGGTATTTATGATTTGCAATGATTACACACAGTTGGAGGCATTTGAAAGATGCGTTTTTTGTTCAGGACATAGTTTGTTTGCCAGAGTCAGCTGAAAGTATTAATGCAATTTTAAAACCTCAAATGTCACACAAGGTAGATATTCACATAAGATACAGTCCTGCTAAGTGCACACTCTTCTTGTCATCGTTCAATTCAGTGTTGGTTTCACAGTAACAAACACAAATTGTCCTCATTTCTGTATCATGTCTATGGAGTCATGGGCAGCAACAACAGATGCAGACTCAGTCTGTCACTCCAGAAGGAATACGAATGTGCTTAAAGCTGCTTCATTTATGAAGCGAACATGGAACTGTTACCTGCCTGAAGAGAAAAAAAGAAATTCTGATTTTGTTATCTTCCCTTTCTGTATTACTAAGCAGTAGAGCTTTTCACAGAGATAAAACATAGATATTTTTTCCTTACAGTTTTGGAAATAAATTTAATGACACCTGCATAGAGATTTCTTTATTCAGAAAGAAAAATGTTGTAAGGTGTATTTTTCTGATCCAAGAACACACTTGCCTGCAAAAGCTGATTGATGTCATCTAAGGTAATGGAACAACCCTCATGGTTTTACAGAACTGCTATGTTTGGGCATTTTGGTATCGGCAATCTCTGGCAGCAAACTTCCCTTTGAAGTCATCTGGACAAACCAAACTGAGAATCTTTGGAAAAATGGAACAACGTGTCCCATGCAGTGACAACTTTCCTTTTCAATGAGCATATGGTAGAACAAAGAATTTAAGGACACTGAAAAACCTCTCAAGTTGTAGCTAAGTCAATCATATTGAATACCTGAGAGAAACTGCTACAGGATGAACTGCAAAACTGAGATTGTCTGTTATGCTCTTGTGCTGCTCTTTCCACTTATGATAAAAAACAATGAGTTCAGTGCTGTCTGAATTTTCCAGACTCTTACATAGATGCCATGGGCTAAATACAGCACAGTTTCTGTAACAAGAAGCATCTTGCCAGAGAACTGCTGCTCTGTAGAGGACAGCTGGGACTGAGAAACCTCACTCACCTTTGCTGTTCCCTCTTCCGTACTAAAGCAAGACTGATGTATCTGAAAAGGCTACAGAGACTACAGAAATGTGCTGACTAAGCTGCAATTAATAAAAGCTCAGCTCTACTTGGCATACTCTCCTACACTCACCTGCTAATTTTAGCAGATTGTGTTTTTTAGTTTACATTGCTTTGCAACAGCTGAAGTGTAATAGCTGAAGGCTTCTCTGTATCAGCTCTAACACCAAAAGGGAGAAGCAGTAGCTGTTCTTTATTCTGAAATCCTTGTAATTTAATTTTGAAGAATTCAACTTAAAAATCAGAGGTCTAAATTAATGATACAGAATTAATTAAATTAGCTGCTAAAGATATTATACACAAATGACACCTACTGATAGCAAGATTTCTTTTTTTCCTGAAAACAGACTCTGAATCACTTTATATTGCAGCAGCTGGAAGTAGTTACGTCTATGGTAAAACTTTCACCATCACCAACTTACCAGTACACGAAACAGTAACAGTGTTGAGGGAGAAAAAGCAACAGCTACACTTGTAGATGTTCCTTTTCTTTTTGCTGCAACACACTGGAAACAAAAAGGTACTTTATTACTACAGTTTTAGTCTTTCAGGGAAATAGAATAGAAGGGTTTGTAAATTAGTTAAAATAAAAAGGGAACCCAAGGAATTATAATTTATATTTGATATTAGTTCTTCCTACTTATAGATGAACATTTCTCAGGGAGGGGAAAGTTGTAATATTCATCAAAACACATGCCATACATTTAAGAGGATAGAGAATGCAATCTGTTTCAAGTTCCACAAAGGCCATCTCCTGCATTTAGCTGTTTCATCTCTTCCCCATATAGAAAAAAAACTTTTGCATTTTCTGTGAAGTTAAAAGGAAGATGTATGTTCCATTTCACACCATTTAACACGTATAAGGATGACAGCCAGAATGAGCTATTTGTAGCAACTAATATGCTTGGTGAAAGGAATACACAGTCATCTATTCCATATACTATATATGAAGTAAATTTGTTTAAAGAATTGATTATTTTAGCAAGTTTAAACACTGAAAATTTCAGCTCCTGTGACAAAACTGCTAGATCAAAACCTTGCCTATTTGTCCCTTCACCAATGGGCAGCCCCAGGCATTTCACTCAGTGTGAGAACACTACAGGACATGTCCTTCTGCCAGCTGCATCAGATCTTTCCCTAACTCTAAAATAGTTAAAATCTGGCCAAACAGCATGAAATACGAAGTTAAACAATACTCTCAAAATGCTTTAGCATAGACTACTTTTACTTAAAATTTCCCTAAGTCCTTTGCTGGATTTCACAGAATTCCTCGCCCAAGTCATGTCCAAGGAACTTCAAAGCCTTGAACTGTTATTTCTGAGGTGTATTTAATTGGCTGAGAACTTTTTCTCTTTAAAAATCAGATAAATGAATGTATAAGTAGGAAGAGAGCTGTGAGTCATTTCAGGGTGACCTTAAGAAGTTATTAGCATTTGAACGAATTGAATTAGCATTGGAACATAGTACCCTGGGGAATGTAAAAAAAGTTAACTTTAAAAATGTTATTGTAAGAGGTATTTAAAAGTATTTAGGAGTACAACCAGAAAGACATTGCTTTCTATTTATTTCCATAATTTTGACCTAGCTTTGCACTACAGAGCAAATAACAGCATTTACCTTATTTTGCTCCTTTCCCTATAGGTCTCAGCAATACTTTCTCACAGTGGAAATACAGACAGACAAAATAATGTCCCCATAATAAAATGCTGTATGCAGAACTATCCTCCATATCAATTTCTATGTTTAAACCAGAAAGCCCTTTAAAGGGAACACTCTAAGCACATATTTTATCTCTGCAGCAAGAGCTTGTTTGGGCTGCCCCAATAATGTTTGGGGCTTTTTTTGTGTTTGCCACAGAGCTAAACAGGATGTAGTTCTCAGAGATAAAATTACATCTGTAAATACAAATTTTAAGTGAAACAATATACCTTATCTCATTTTCCTCTTGATAGTCATGACACTGTGTAGTTTCATCACTTTCTGGTCTGGATTTGGGATGTATTTTCTAGGAAGAAAATGCACTAAATATAAATATTCTAAAGCTATAAATATTCTAAAGCTTTCTTTAGTAACTAAACAGTTATATGTTTTCATTTGCTTCAGTTTTCAATATCAAAGTCATCTTCCAAAATGTAGGCCAAATCTTGTCCTCTAACATACATCTACTACTGTTATAAATTTTGCTATTGAAGTTTTTGTATTGTAGGCAGGGGCATAGTGGCCAAAAGCAAAAAAATTCCTTTCTCAATATACAATAGGAGAGATGGAAAATTGGGTGAATCTCATGATTTTTGTTTCCAATTACAGAGTGATCGTGCTGATAAGGAAGGATTTGCGCTTTGATGGTGGAATTCAAGAATTTGACACACAGATTTACATCTGCAATTCACAGTTAAGTGAAGATCAAAAGGGATCTCTTGCTTTCAAATACAGAATGGTTCTCTTGTTCCCACCTCCCCACAGCTAAGAAATGTAGCATCACTATGTAAACAATTATATGTAGTATCTCTTACCTTCCAGTATATTGCTCCCAAAATAAAGCCAATAAGGAGAGACAGCAATGATGTCAGAGCTATGCTGATCCCTTGCAGGCTGGAGCTGCTAATGAAGCCAAGTGCTTCTTCTGTAATTAAAGATACTCTCATTAGTGAAGACAGATTTATAGCAGAAAACTGTCTTCAGGGCAACACTATTAGCAAGAGCACTTTCATACACCACCTACATAACAGCATCTTAAATAGCAGAACAGACACTTCAAAGTGCAATGTGCATGAGATGCGCTTCATACAAAATCTTACAGGAAATTTTTGACCACAAGGATGCTCCACCTACTTCTGAAACAACAGTGATGAAAAGTACCAACACCAATTCTCTTTTTACCATTTGTAGAGAATTATCTCTTTCCCACACTTCAAAGTTTTGTATTTCTTAATTTTTGAAAGTCTTTGAAACACAAAGAAACTATTTGGAAAAGAAAATATGTTAATTCCTGAATTTGCATTAGTTCCATCAGAGATCTCCCACTGACTGCAGGCACTTTGACTTGCCACTAATCAATGACTAACATGAGAGCTCTCAAGAGAAGTTAATTTAACAGAATAAGCCCGATCACTTCTAAAGCTTCCTGGAAAGTTACTGCTGACTTCAGCAAGATCAAACCCTTGTACCTTGAGGTTTAACTGTGTGTTATTTGTTTATAAGTATTTCTTGATAGCTTTTAACGTTTTGTACAGAAGAGCACCAATCCTGTTCTTTTATGTACATGAACAATTCCATTCCCCTCACTGGGACCTGCAAGCATGCTGAAACTAAAATCTGTCCCTTCAGCTATTTCATCAAGGGCAGGATGTGGAAAGTCCTACAGAGTCACCTGGGGACCCTCCTTCTGAAATGCAAAGTGAACCTCAGGAGACTGGTATTTTAGACATTGTCCACCCAGTTTTGATTCATTTCAAATTGGGTGTCTGCAGCTCCAATGGTGGGTGTATTGACAGATTACAGGAAAAGAACCAAACTGTAACCACTGGAAAAGTGTATGTGATTGGATACACAGAAATGAAAATGAACTGACAGCACTCAAAATTTGTGTGACTCATGCAAACAGTAAATGTCTAAGCACATACAGGATGATGTACTGGGTCAAACAATATGTGTTTAGTACATTATAAAACAGCCTTCAAGGAAATAATTTGGTTTAGAAAGGAGTGCTCTTATAATGAACTAGAGATTCATTTTCAACTCTCAGATTTTCTTGTTAAATTAGTTCAAGTTTTAGACAAATATTCTTTTTATCTCAGAAATTCAGCTGTGTTTTCTAGGCTCAATGTAGGTAGAAATAAAAAGACAACATAAAGTCTATATCTTACATATACTACATATATCTCTGTGCCTCAAACACTGTTTGCAAAGTCTAGGTTCTGACTGTAGCGGCTTGAGTTGCACTTATATCTGGTAGATTTCGCACACTAAAAGGAAACATCAGTCAAGCAGAACCAATGCTAGCTTACCGTGAAAGAAATCTGTCTACAGAAGGGAAAGATAGCAGACAAAATTCTACAGAGGTGAACATCAGCTGAAAAAGAGAGGCTACTGATTAGTCTGCCTCTGTCTGCTCAGACATTAAAGCCAAGAGCAGACATTAACTGGGGGGACATAACCTTTCTAACTTTCTGTCCCAGATTAGGCACAGTGGATGTTTGCTTGCAGAACTGATCTTCAATAAAACTGGGCAAACTCAAGTGGGTGGAGCCAGCCTGACCAACTCCAAAAATGCTCTCCTGTTGTTTATCTGAATTGTATTCTCAGAAGAAAATTCTGATATTGCTCTTGTGCTCTATGCAGGTAAAAAGCAATCCTCATTTGCCTAATGCCATTCTTCTCAGCGAGAGACTGCTGAGCTTTACAACTAAATTATGTAAATCATATGGGGATGGCCATGTTTTCTGGATTTCACCCTGCAGACTTCAGAAAAAAAATTAAAAAGTGAAATAAAAATCAAAGGAAAGACTCTTCAGGTCATGTAGAGCAGAATGTGTTTGATAACATGTTATGGTAGAGGTTAGAGGTAACTTCAAAAACCCTCTGCCTACCTCTGCAGTGCTGGGCAGCATGTCATGGCAAGCATGCTGGTTTTTACATGAACTACTAGAGAAATGTTCTGTATGCAGGGTAATCAGTGATAAATCTGTACCTTTGATTTTAACAGCATTTTTCACAAACTCATGCAATTTAAGACAACAGAGGACACCCCTTTACAATGAGGTATCTTAAACTGGAAAAATATGATTTCTGAAAAGTTATCTCCAATGCAGATGATTTCTTCATCATCTATGGAAAACTGAAAGGAATTTATAATTATCTTTCTTTGTGGGGACATGCAATCCAGGGACTGAGCCTAAATACAGTCCCACTGTGACACTCTCCTTAGCCTCCTTACCTTTTAAAAATCACCACAGATTTTTTTTTTTTTTTCCAAAACCTGGCAGTGTATGAATTAACTTGGATGTTGAGTAACCCTTAAAAAGCAAGCAACAGATTACTTAATTTCACTTTCAGGTCCAGAAAAAATTCTCTTGAAAGATCTGGGTAGAATGAAATGAGTCATGGCAGGTTTCTTCATGTGCCTTTTATTTATATTAAAATTTATAACAGAACAGGCTGAAGAATTTTCAGTCTGGAGAACCTCTCAGGGACTTGTGTCTTAATGAAGAATAGAGAGAGAAGGAAAGAAAGCTGGCTACCACAGGAATATTTTCCTCTGTTAGAAACTTCGGATCTACACAGAAAGATTCTGATTCCCATCAGTTGTAAAGGCAGAGCAGGATAAGGAACAGCAGGAACCAGGTGTACCAATAACTTTATGAACTCTTTGGGCAATGCCAAAGGAACTGCTGGCTCTATCCAGAAGAGTGAAAAAGGGGAGTGAACACAGGCCAGGATCTCTGAGATCTCTCACTCTACATCTTGTGGAAGATTCCCTAAGGAAGTGAGCTCATTTGATGCTGATTTACGTATAGTCTTCATGGACATTGGGATGTTAAACTGTAAACAAAATATTTTTACATTAAAAGCCACTCAGCTACACAATGAAATTATTGAGCTGCTTCCTACCTTGAGCCATGTGTGATTATGATTGAAAGCACTGGCTTAATTTTTATTTTTTTTTTGCCATAAATATCTCAAAGGAATTTTCAGTTTACCTCTGCTCAGTTCCAACACAATTACCACAAGATCTTATCTGCAAAAATGCAGAGCAGCTCTCACCTTTTCATTAGGGTTTTCCATTAGCTATTAATTTGGAACAGAGGAACAAAGGCACAGAAGGCAGCACCAATTGCATTAATCCATGAGTGAACATTTTCAAATTGTTGTGCAATTACTGAATTAAACTATGGTATTTTTTTCTTAATTAAAAAAGGAGACCTTCTTCCTAAAAACAGTTAAAGAGATCTCTGTGTTTACATGTTCTTTGAGCTACTCAGTACTAAATAATAGGGCTAAATTATTATGAGGAAATTACAGACAAAAATGGAAGGAGGCAACACTGAACTCTTCATGAAATTATGAAGAAAGTTATGGCATTCAGCTGGAGAAGTTTTAGTCACAGCTGGTAAGTTCAAGCTTTGATCAGAGCAACATGAAATTCATTTGATGGATTCAACCACTGAACGAAGAGATTAGGACTCAAGACTTCTTATGCTGACACTTCTTCTTTACATAGGAACCATCTCATCTACATTCTCTAGATTATGTGTGATATAATCATCCAGAGAAATAGGAGCAAGACTGGAACTTTAACAGCTAATTGGAACTTCAGTGGACTACAGTCAGGTATCACATAGAGGAAAAACCAAACCAGTCCAAATAAATTTGGGATGGTAACAGTGGTCTTTTGAGAATTTTATAAAGGAAAGATGAAGTGGAAACATGTTACAAGTCTACATTCAATATTACAAGAATGAAAAAAAAAGGACAATTAGCATTCAAAAACCAATTAGAATAGCATAATTGTTCTATTTTACATTTAGCTGGGCTAAGACTTTTTGTGTATATTTAGTTGAGATTTTATTCTTTCATTGTAGTTTAATTTTTTTGTTGTGTAAGAAAAATGGAGTCGTGAAATCTGACTCAACAAAAGTAGCAAAAATAAAAATCCATAACTTAGCTCATTTACATACAATTTCTATGATAAATATTTCACACATTATTTTATTAGATTATGCACTTCAGGTTTGTCTAAGTTAAATTCAGAATTGGGGCAGTTCAAGTCATCTGACTACTTAGACTTCATTAATAGTTTCAAAATATATTAATCTAGAGTGGCTCTTTTGCAAACACTGAATGCTTCTAAATGCCCTAGAAACTATTAAACTGAAAAATAACTCAAAACTGTTTAAAATTAAAGGGTTAATTAAAAAAAAAATACTGTAGTTTGTGTCTGAATATGCTTTTTTTCAGGCTTCCCCTCTTCTCAAGGTTTTCCTTCTTGAAATTTGAATCTAGTGGTTCTTTTATGAGAACAGTACTAAAGTTAGGGGAATGCTGTGCTGGGGAGTCTTCAAAAGGGAAATACTAAGGTTTATTCCAAGAAAGTAAGGAGTAGCTAAAACCAAAATTTCCTCAGCAATAAAGTCAAGATAAAACTAAGATTGGCACTAAAGGCCATTTCAGGGAATAAAATAGTGATGTCAATAAAGATTCCACAGCTCCCTCCCTGCAAAAAACCTTCAAAGGAGTAACTACAATGTAACCAGTCAGCATCCAAATTAATGTAATTTAATCTGATTATGTGTTCAAACTGTCCCCAGATGCAGCCAGACATGCAGACCTCATGTCATTTCTAAATAAGGCTGTTAACTGATATCCAATTTTCCAATAAATTGCTTAAGAGAATGATAATCAGTTAAAACACACCTGTACAGCATATGGTAGCCAAGCAATTTACTGAATTATTTTAATTAGGCTTTTTTTCCTACTTGATTATCAGTTCCAATTATAAAACAAGATTAATAATCCTGCTTCAGCACTCTCCTCCACAGTACAGACGTAGGTGCCACACTCCAGTGAACTGCCCAGCACCCCTCCTGTTACTGTACTTGGTCAAACTCCTTTCATCTGAACTGCTCCTGTAATCTGTCTCTCTTTTGGCTCCTTGATTCATTACCATTGCTTCAGGCTGTGACTGAATATTTTTCCTCTAGCAATGACAGCAAAAAATTATCACATGTTCAGACCTGAGAGATAGAGACAGGTATGCATTCTTTAACCCCTTCCTAGTGCCTCAGAGTTGCCCCTGGGTTCATCAGGTTATTTGCAGACATCTCTGTGACTTCCTGGCAAAGAATCTATGGCACTGTCTTTTTTCCAAAGACTCAGCCTGGCAGCCAGGAGTGGAGGGGGTTTTTTAATTCCTTCTGAGGGTTCTGGGCTATGATGACTTAAGACCTACTCTTAATTAGAAAGCAATCAAGAAGGGATTCAAATTTGATAGCAGTTGTCAGCCAACTACAAGGTAGCATGTATGGTGCTAAAAGCCCAGAGGGTAACTAGATTATACATTCCAAAGAGAAGGAGCATGAGAAAAAACTCAGGCCTAGTAGCAACTGTGTCACCATCAGGAGCTACCATTGCGCCCTCTAGACTACATCAGGCTGCCCCTCTGCACGTTTCCTTAAGCACAGGGAGTATCAGTCACATACTTCATCATCACACATTCAGATAACACAGATGTTTGTGAAGTGAAAGGGGAAATTGTAGAGAGCTAGATGCACATTGTCATCTTGACGTGTCTGGGAAACAGGAACAAGGAAGCAACAAGGTTAAACTTTGATCACCATTTCAGGAGCCTCTAAGGAAAATCCCCTCTTGTTCACATGGGAAGCTCCAGATAGTGCTCACCTTGTTGTACATGATGTCACTAAAAGCCCTGAAACTTCACTGTTTCCTTCCACTTCAGATTCCTGTACCCTTTCTGACCTCGTGCAAGGCAATGTTGAGGCTCTGACAGCCACCGTTCTGTTCTCTTATCAGAGTGGCCATGTAAAGCAGTGACCAAGACAGATAAGAAAGATGGACATGAGTATGCCAGAGAGAAGGTTACAGCCTGCCAGAAGGGTAGTGCCTTTGTCATTGACCCCAAGCGAAAGCATGCTGACTGTGGAGGTGGCCCTACTGCAACTACAGCAAACAAACCCAGGGACTGTCCTCAGGGCTGGGGCAAAGCTTGGGATGCAATGTACAGGTATCCTCTTTGTTCACGTGAGAACCCTCATCCTATCTAGGACAGCTATTCTGTTCACTTGGAGCTACTTCATTTTCTGAGAGTTAAAATGAGGTGTCTGGCCAAATTTGCTGAGGCCATATGACTAGTGAGACCTCATGACAGCCAAAACGAAGAGGCCTGCCCTCTCCAAGTTGTAGAGAGCTGTCACATAATTGTAACTAGATAGCATCTCTACATTTTGATTAGATAAGTTCTTTGCATTTCAGTATGACAGCTGAGAAACACATGGTACACCATCAGGAACATGTAACTTCCCATTAATTTGCACAATTAATGACATTCTTTTCCTCTGAGCTCTCACAACCAGCTACCAGAACAAAACGGAGACATATATTCAATCACTTGTACTTACTGTTACTGTTAGTGCTACTGCCAATGCTGTCATTCCTAAGAGAGCTGGCAGCAACAGGAGGAAACAAAAATGTTTTTGTGACAGCGACTCTGGAATCTAAATAGAAAATGAATGTGTCAGAATTATGAAATTTAAAATACAGTTCCCTCTATATAAGATGGTGGGTACTGGACTACTGTGATGTGGCTATAGGGCTGTTTTAAAAGCTGGCTGTAGGATGGTTCATAAAGTGGATTAAGCCAAAAAAGGAAGTTTTATTAAGAGGCAAAAGTATCTACATGCTGAGCTGCTGCTGAATAGCTAATCTGGAAGAGCAGTTGCTGCTTACAAGTTCTTAGGTTATGGCACTGATCTGCTTCTAGTTACTACTGATGTAACTCTACAACTGGACACATTGCCCTAATTAAAAAGCTAGTGTCTGTCACTAGAGAGAGTAAAAGAAAAGGTAATATAAACCCTCCATTTACTGGAAGAATAAGGAAGAGCTGCAGGAGCTTGACCTGAGCTCGTTAACATTTTTTAATGAAGTAAACATTGCCCTGTTCAGGAAAAGTGGGATGAAATTGAACGTGACTTGAGGCTGCTGCAATTTACAGCTTGTCTTAACTTCCTCTCCTTTCAGCTGTGCAATCTTAGGCTCTTTTACTGCTTTATAAAACCAAAGCATTAAGAGAAGATAAGAAGAACAATGTAAAAAAGACAATTCAGGATATATCTTGGATGAATAGAAACAGAGCAGCATAATGCAAGGTTATTTTGATTATGCTGAGAAATGATGTATCTAAGAGTGATGGCACCAGAACAGCAACATAACCTTCAGTGTCAGTAGTTACTTTAATTTGCAGTAAAAAGGTGGCATGGAGGCATGGTATCAGATCCTTAGCATCCCTGAAATCCAAGGAAAATCACACATTTATATCTGCCTAGATTCTGCTCCCCAAAAAGACACCCCTCTTACCATTTTCCGGTGTTCCTACTGTTGAAGGCAGAATGCAGTCATTCTTATCCAATCCGTCTGCAGACTCTTTGTAGACCTCAATGGTACTATTAAAGTGCCTAAAAAAGTCCTCAGGAATGAAGTGACCTTCTTCATAAAGGTGACCATTTTCTTTTACAAAATCCTAGAGTAAAATATAGAATTCTGCTTGAAAGGAGGTCAAGGGAGATGCTCATTTTGACACCTCAACAAATGATAAAAATATCCAAAGATGATACAAAATCGTTTAAATTTTTAACCTGCAGACAACCAGATTAGCTGTATAAAATCTTCATAAAACATACAAGCCTTCTGATCTGAGGATTTCAAATTAGCTTTGCAAATAGAAATGAATTATTAATACAGTGTTGCAAAATTGCTAAGGAATGAAAGACAGTTTCCCATCCTATACTGAAAACCAAGAGACCTTTAAAATTCTCCTCATTAACAAAAACACCCTTTCACATTACTTTGGAAAGTTTCACATGAGTCTTCTAATCTGAAGTCATGAGCACAACAATCACTGGTATTGTCATTAAGAGAATGGGGAAGAGAATACAATAGCTGGGATACACCACTGCTCAGAAACAGGCTGAGATCCCTGATAACGCACCTAAAAATAAGAGCCACTATAAACAAGGAAGCCCAGTCACTCTGAGGTCTAACAGACAGGTTTGTTATGCCAGACTAAACAACATGATTGAGATCCACGTTGATTGATGGTTTTCTTCTTTTTTTTTTTTATGTCAGCAAGTCAAGTTTGGCCTGGGGTTACTCTGTACTCCCAAGAAGGAGGACAGTGGTTAGAACATGGTCTAAGTATGTCCTACAGAAAACCTCCTGGTTTTGGCTCCAAAGTTATTTTATGTTTGATGCTGAGAGTACTGGACTTAAGATCATTATTCTCTAAGGAAATCAATAGCTAGCTGTTTTGCTGAATTACAGGATATTTACTTTTCCATTCTACAAAATAAAATTCCTCTTGCCCAACCACATCCCAGATGAGTGCTTTGAATCATCAGGACTGAAATAGAAAAGAAAAAAAAATATATATATATACACTGAAGATTGGAGATAATTCAGTTTGAAATGGAAAAGTAGGGAATATCTAAATACTAAATAAATACTAAATACTATCTAAAACAATGCAATGCAAATACATGGTGAGCTTCCAAGGTTATTTCACTCTAAATGCACCTGAGTGTTTTAGCTCATTTGATTTATTCTGGCTGTTGAAAAGGTGCAATTACAACAACTAAGGACTTAGCTAATAAAAATAACTGTATATGAAGATAAAATACTTGCTATAAAGAACATAGTGGATTTTACCTGTTTTATTCAGTGGGACAAAACTTTCAACTACAGAACTTATTTTTAATTACTGGTACTGATTTAATTACTGGTCAGATCTGGATAACTAGAAAATTAATTTATTCCTCTCTTCCCTGCCTGCACAGAGAATCAGACATCTCTTGAGTGACAATCCTTCCAGCTGCTAGCAGAATCCAGAAACAGGAGGAAATGGACCAATATCCTCTGGTCTTTGCTGTGCCTTTGTATAAAAGAGTTATTTAAACCATGGAGAAGCTTTCACACACTGTGATACATACTAAGGATATATTAATAACTTCAACTACATCATCTTTAAATTTACGTTAAGATCACTAGCAAAATACACAAGGAAGAATTCTGTTGGTTTTAAAAAGACCAGAATGAATGAATGATCTTAAAGAAGTTGCTGCATTTCTGACTTTAAATAACTGCATACAGGTCACTGTAGATACTGTAATTCCTTGTAAGCCATTTTTCTTTGAAACAGTGCATTTCTAAACAAAGCAGTATTTCATAGCCACGGTAATAGAAATGAAAACAAATCTAATAAAGCCTTGGATATTTCTAAACTATTACTGAATATTGTGCAACAGAAAGTAAAAAAATAAATATGCAGTACAAAAGCTGAAACTCTGTATAAGATTACCTTGTTTTTATCAAAAGCAAGGCATGCCATAAGATCATTAATTATCCTTGTGAGATTGTTGATGATTGAATAGTTGCTTAAAACATCCGACATATCTGGAATATCTGAAAATTTCTGGAGAAGATTATGTAGACTCCTTGAAAACTCAGGCACCATCAAATGCAACCAACAGTGATTAGGCTGACAGGGGATAAAAAGAAAAATTGATTTAAATTAAATAAATATCAGACATTTGTAAAAACTGGTTAAACATCTCAATGTGCAAAAGTAAATTAGACTGTTTTTTCCAATTTAAACTATCTCAAAAGTATAAAGTACAATTCTTCTTTACTGTGGCCAGTTTCCTTTTCAGTCCTTTTGGTAATATTTCTATTTTCACTGATAATGACATATTTATGGTTGTCAAAAGCCATCCCTTGATTAAATTCTCAATAAATGCCAAGTGTGATTGTGTTGAGCATTTGAGCCCTGGAACATGTTATTATGAACCATAGTCCATACTTTCATTAAGCTACTTATTTTCTTATCAATTCTTACTGCCTAAACAATTCTTTAAATATCAGTTTTCATTTATTGTTGTTACCTTACATGACACAGTTAACCCCAAAGATCCTTAATTTAAATTTCTAATCAGGAGGGTTTTCATAAAAATTTTGCATGAAATCCCTCTGTACTTTTATCCACCTTTAAACTAGTTAGATGGGTTAATTCCTTCTCTTCAGCTTTTTCACTAAATGTCATCACTGGGAACAGTTTCTGGATCTAAAAACCTTTCTTCTTCCTGAGTCTTTGATAACAAAAGTGTTCTGCACAGCCTGCCACTGTACACTAACACCTATGCAATTAGTTTGTGGGCAAAGTTTGTACAGCTGCTCACATGACTGAAACCTGGTAATTCATCTTGCTGTCTTAGAGGAAGTCATTAACTTCTTTTACTTAGATATATATATAACAGTAGTCAAACAGAGGAAAAAGTCACCCAGCCCAGGAAAATCCCTAATTCAGTATGATCAGCAAAAGTACAGGTAACTCATTAGCCAGAACTGCAACTTGTACCTTCCCAATAAAAGCTAAATTTTTAATGGCAAAGGTTATGAGAATTTATTCCATATATGACATTATTTTTCCAATATTGAAAATGTCTCATTTAAGTCTTCCAGATACAAAGATCTTGGCCCAACAAGCCCTAGGTATCACTAAACCAGTTCCCAATTGCTGCCCAGCGGATAGGCAGCACCCACTGAATCCACCTTCTGCAATACACAGCAAATGTTTGGCAATGTACACACTTCTAGGCTTAATCTAATTTACTCAATTTTTTCAACCAATCTGCATTTTCTTTATTAAATCTTTAAAGATTCTTTATTAAAAATAAAATAAAAAAAAAATCCACAGGTGTTGTTCTGCTTTGATGTGTAAATGTTTCTGACAAGAAAAAATACACTTCACATTTTTGAAGACTAATCTGACTATTAGGCTTCCAGGCTTAGCGAACCAAATGTAAATACATTATTCAGCTCCACCTGAATTTCTACTTCTGTGTACAACTCTCTCACAAAATGATAACCTGTGGCAAGTCAGTGATATAACCTTTTGTAATTACCTCAACAATGACTTAAAAAAGAAGGAAACAGAAAGAAAAATGGATAGCATTTGGCTTATTTGGCTTGAGTCTGCTTCACTTTTTTCCTTTCAGGACAACAAGTTGAGGGGGGAGGCAGAAACAAATAAATCAGAGAAAGAAACATATTTGGTTCAAGCAGTGTATGTTGTGCCATGTCCCACCACCCCCATGAGACAGGCAATGCCTTTTTCTTTGCTTTTGAGTAGGAACACTGACCCAGAACTACTGTGCTTCCCTGAACTGGAAACCTCCAAGACCTTTTCCTTTGAGGTTTTGTGGATGAGCATTCTCCTCTGGCAGGGACTAGCATAAGCTTGCTGCTTCTCCTAGTGAGCATTTGGCAATTCCAGCAGGGAGTCTATTTTGTTGCTCCTGCGGTTTAGCATGCGTGTGGGAGTCTCCTCTAACTGAACTGTTCTGACCTACAAAGCTGTATTTCACAAAAGCTCTAAGTTCTCTTTTCAGAAATGTCAAGCTGTGTAAGCACTTGCTATGTCAATACCTACCAAACATGGGGATAAAACTGCTCTAATTGAAAAATATGACATTATTTGTAAGGAGAAATTGATGTTTAACTCTGGTATTTTGTGTAAACTCTGACCAAGATTTACATTTTAGGCCAACCGCAAACGGGATTTCCCTCGTACTTCTCATTTGGCTTTTACTTTCTACATCTAAGTAAAAGTTTGAATGTTATCTCTTCCTCTGAATTCAGCGTTTTGCTGTCAGCTCTGCCTTTTAACCTTCAGGTTCAACTACACAGTTCACTCTATACAAGACTTTTAAAGCCACTCAGTTGCCTTGAGCTAGTGCATAATGCAATAACCCTTCTGTTTAATGGATGGGTCAGTCTGTTCTTGTTACATGCACTACACTGCTTTGCATTCACCCTGCCTTCCTACCTTTAGTTATCTACATTTGGGACTTGCTACCTTGGGTACACTTCCCACTTTATTAAGCACGCACTGAAGATTGTAATCTATTGAAAAAAATTGCAGAGCACCATTTCAAACCCTTCAGAGTTGAGCAAAGGGCATTTACTTTAGGCAAAGCCATGGATTTCCCAGCTTGCATGGACCAAAGCAAAGCCTACTTATTCAGCAAGCCTTGCTGTGGTATGCATAACACAACCTGAAATTCCCAGAGAGGAATTTGGCAAAGTGGAATCTGAATACTGCTGAATACTTCCTCCTGTGAAGGCATGTGGCCAAGAGCTGCACCTGCCATTACTGTGACTGAAAGTGGTGTGCAAAGGGAACATGGAAATCTCAGCTCCAAACTTCTTCCTTTTTATTTCTTGGCTGCTTGTTGTAAATGTAGACTAGATCTAAATTTCTGGATATGATGCACAAAGATGACATAGAATGGAAAAGAACCTGCATGCTGGCAATCAACACTGAACCATGAGAGAGGCAAGAGTGAGAACAACCAGGACTCATTGCTCAAGCAGGTTCCCTGGCCTTCTTCATCTGCCAACACCCCAAGAGAGCAGTGGAGGGAACAGCCTCAATCCAGCTCAACAGCTAATGGGCTGGAAGCTGGGGAAGCAGCACTCAGGCTACAGCTGTCCTCCACAGATGCGAATATCATCACACCAGACACCAAGATAAGTGAATTTCAAAAAGCCCAGCAGTCAGGGAATGGTGGCAGCCAGTCTTGCTTCCTTTTTCTCTAAATATTGGCTATTATAATAAATGGAAAATTTTCCATTATATTTATTTATAAAGGATCTGGTACCTCACTTCCATAACATTTGTTCTGCAGAGTTTTCCTGTCTAAAGAAACAACTTTAAACTGGGTTTTCCAAAGTATTCTAAGTTTTAGTAAAAGCCTCAAGCTTCCAGCAAAACTCTTAAAAACACGTCTACATCTGACATAACTCTTCATAACCTCACAATTCAGGGCCCTTCATTATCCTGCAGGCTTCTTTTCCTCCTGCCATCTTGTTTTTCAGGACTGAATGTTGCTTTTGGCATCATTTTCCAATATCAATAGGGAATGTTGCTAGATCTGCCACTTTGTTGTAGGGTAGGATGCATTTTTATATGTGTATCACATACAAATTGGATTTTTACAGTGAAAACTTTTTGCAGACACAAAAATAGCTTCTTACATCTAGCAGATAATTTTCAGCTACTGATGTATGTATACAATGATTAATTCTAATACAGGCACAGTATTGTTCAGTTTAACTGACAAAATCATAATGTTCTTACTTTTTTCCTTGCCTTAAAACAACACAGTATTCAGCATAATTTGTACTTTCACCTTCTTCCCTTTTCTCCTTTTTATTGCAATGTACGCAACAACCAATTTTTCAGTACATAATTTCAAATTTTCTTTTGTTAAATTGAGGAAAACCAAAAAATATTAGTAGATTGAGCGATAAAATAATACGAGTTTTAAATAAAAATGTTATAAAATTTTAAAGTGTATAAATAATGTTTATTTGAAAGTATCACTATGTATTAAATATGGGACTATATAGAAAGAATAACACAAAGCATGTTTGAAATCCTACTGGTTTGTTTAGTTAGTGATGCTAACATTTGCTGAATTTGAGGTTCTCTTTACTGGCTACTAAGTATTTGTTGTGCTCTAATGGCATCAGTAAGTTCCAAAGTACAATTACAGAGATCCTATTTCTTTAAGAAAACAGTATTTTTTTCAATTGATATAATTAAATAATACTGACGAAATAATAGCACAATGCAAATCTGACTTTTCCCAGAAAAAAAAGTTAAAAAATTTAATATGAAGAAACTTTTTCTAGAATTCCTGCAATTAAAATATTTTAAGGGACTGCAGGAATCTCTCTACATTTCCTTTGAATAAATACTTGGGAACCATATGAAAAGTGAAATAAACATTATTTAACAGTAACTTGCCAAGGTATAGGACTAGGTACAAAATGTTACAGCCACCACTGGTTACAGTGGGCTATTTTATTGGGATTAACTTGAAGTGGTTGTACATACCAGACTATCCATCTTCGGGACATATTTAAGGGTTATCAGATAATCATTTGGGAGATTTCCAACCTAAAATAAACAGATAATAAAAATGTTATTACTTACAACACAAAGTAAGACTTTATTTCCATTACTGCATTCAACAAAATCTAGCAAATATTCAACGCTAATTTTCAGTAATTTACCAGTTTCAGGCAAAAATGGTTACTTACAGACTTTACTGTGGAACTGCCATTGACACTTATTTGCCCACAAGTGAATCATCTTTCCACAGCTCTGTATCATGCTCAGATCTGATCTGATCATGATCAATGCTACTGCTTCCCAGCAGAATTAAAGTGAACAATGAGTTGAGAAAAGTGATCTGACGTTTTTTTATTACTGCAGAAACTCCACTGCCCTTCCGTACTTTAATGCCTTGAAGTGTTTACATGACAAGTGCTACTGTAGACAGTAGAGGACCCAGAAGAGGACCCTTTTTCCTTCAAGTAACATCCAACTCCAACACGCATCTGAACCTAAATATTTGCCTGTCTTGTGCTTAGTTATGTACCAGGTCAGAAAAACACTTGAGCACAACTTCAGCTTTGGAGTTGTGCTTCTTACTAATGATGAGCAATATCATTATATCTGAGCAGTGTCCTGGGGCAAAGGAGAGCTTCCACACACATAGGCTGCAGCTTTGCAGATGTGGGTGAGCATGAAGTGTGCTGCAGCAAAGGCAAGGAGTGGAAGAAGGATTCCCACTGGATTATACTACACAATCTACCACAGATGCAATCCAACACTACTGTGAGACATGGTTGAACATCTGGGGAATGTGCTGAATTAGGAGATGAACAGTCCAACAGTCACTGGACTGCCACAAATCCACAGCCTTTTGAAGTATTTTTCCAAAAGATTTAGCTACAATATGATGCTTAATGATACAGTAAACCTATTTTCTATCAATGAAAGCATCAATTGATATTTCTCATCTCGGTTTGAAATCCACATAGTCAAAAACAATATGCACAGATGTAACTCCTTTGGTGGGAAAGCATTTCTGCTTCGGGTTAAAGATCATTCTGTTATGGCTGCTTTTGATTCTGCTGCTATAGCAACCAGCACAGGGATTTCTTTTCCCCCTGAGCAGTTTTTAGGTAGTATTTTGTTTGGCAAAACATAATGTTTTGTTTCTTAACTAAAATTTTGCTTCAATTAAAAATTAAACCAGTTATTTAAAAACGTTATAGTTCTAGAAATGATCAAGGGTAATTCTTATACACAGCCAAACACAAGTGAATTCCAAACATTTTTTAATTTATGTGGGTTAAGATACAATTTTTCAGCTCAATGACATCTATCTTTCTCCTGCTTTAGAACAGTTACTATAAAAATGATATATAAATGATCCTTAAAAATTCCCTCACACAAATCTTCTTTTATTTTTCTTTTATTTTTATACCTACACATTCCTAAAGCAGAAGTGCCACAAAAATTCTCTATATTAATTTCTATTTATCTGGCATTTTGATTCAAGATGCTATAAATACTGAAAAATATTTCAAATTATTTCAAAAAATTTCAAAATATCTAAATTCTTTAGAGCATCAGATTTATTCTAAATCCTCCTGTAAATTTTTTGTCTATTATTCCTTTCTTTAAAACATCACAGCATACCAATAAGTATTCCATTTTTTTTCTAGCTTCCTTTGCATGCCTGGAGAGGTAGGATTAGCAGCACTTCAAGCAGGATAGATAGTGAAGATGCTACTCTATGTGAAAAGTTTCCCTTACTCACTCTAGAGGGATTCCACACGTAGCAATGGCAGCAAAACCACTGTTCTATAAGAAAGGTCACTGGAAGATTAAATTTGTTCCATATCAATGAACACTACAAGAATTGATATGCATTATGTATACGATCTACTTTCCTGGCATCAGAGCACTTCAAGCACTTTTCACGCACAGTTAAAAAAAAATTAAGTGCCCAAGAGCTCTTACACCTTCTCAATCAGAGCTGGAGCATACAGCTCAGCCTCAGATATTTCTCTCCCTGACAGACTGTGAATCAGATAAGATATTTTTGAATTTACTACTAAAAATGAAGATCACTGGGAGGAGGGTGTCAAAATACATGCACTGCCTCAAGACAAAACTTGTTAAAGTTTTGTTGACTGAAGTCCACATGTCAGATGCAGTGCTGGTAAATGATGGATCTCGAAGTGATGAAGTTACATTTGTGTCTCACTTGGACTTCCCAACTCACACACAGAAAATAGGGTAAAGCCCCTGATGTAAGAGTGAAGGATATGTCTATACTAGGTCTGCATTTTGTACTCTCTTGCTTTGCTGAAATGTATCTTGAAATTTTGTTGAACACTAACCACCAAGACTGAGCCAAACCCAACCACTCAACTTTCATCTGCTGAAATGATCCTGAAAGGAATGAATGGACTCTGCACACCAACTCTGTGCAGGGTGCCTGGCTGCTGTGGCTTCCAACAAGGAGCAAATAACAAGGCAGCTCTGACCTGCCTGAGAAAAGGTGTTTGGAAAAGAACTGACCCTTCAAAATACCTGAGGATGGCTTTTTATTAGTTCCTCTAATCAGCTCCATGAGTACAGTTACATAGCTGGGTGGGCACAAAACACCTGCCTGCATGATTTACCTTGGTTTAAACAGAAGTAAGTTTTGATTGATATAGAGAATGTCAACTGATAATCTTGCAAAGGAATATGTAGAACCAAAAGCATTGAATTGCAATTAAAATGTAACTAAAGTTTCTCTGATTTAGTGGCTGTGTGTGATTTCAGATATCCTAACAGGCTGAGAGAAGTTGAAGAGCAGGGAATCTAGACTTACGTCTTTAAATCCATATAAAACCAACAATAAGTGCTATATTCCCAGCTGTAACAAAATCTCAAACTGGGGAATGTAAGATTGCTTTTGGCATAGAGAGGTCTGAATATTTAATACAGCACTGTTAACATTGCATAACCCAAACATGTTTTAAAAAATGCTCACGGTCACATAGATGGGGAGATGAAAAAAGGATGTAAAAGTGATTTGGGTTCCATAAACTACTCTTTCATCCCAACAGTAGACATGAGAGATGACCTATCTGCAGTCATGCTTTGAAATGATCGCTACTGCTCTTGAAAATTCCCTTTAGTGCGATTGTTATGAAAATTATAAGGAGACAAGCACAGATATAGTTTTTATACACATGTAAAAAAATAAAGTATGTTAATAAAGTAAAATATACCATTTTGCACTTTCAGTGTTTTCTTTTTTACTTTGAAGCATATGATGGGAAAAAACATACTTTCCTTTTAGATATTATTTCAACCCTAAAATTTTGTCTGTTTGTTTCCTTTTTCCCATTCTTTTCATAGAATAAAAGAATGGTTTGGGTTGGAAGGGACCTTACAGGTCATCTGGTTCCAAACCTCTACCATGGACACCAGGTTGCTCAGAGCCCCATTCAACTTGGTCCTGACACTTTTCCAGGGAAAGGCCATTCACCACTTCTCTGGGCAACCTGCTCCAGTGCCTCACCACCCTCACAGTAAAGAATTTCTTGCTTTTGCATAAATTTCTCCTCTTTCAGCTTAAAGACATTCCCACTTGTCCTAGCACTACATGCCCTGGTCAAAAATTCCTCTCTAGCTCTTTGTCACAGCTTCTCTGGCTTTTGTTTTCCTGCAGGAGCTTCCACTGTCTCCTCCATCTCTGCAATCTACTCCATCTCATCTGCTAATGAAGCAGTTAATAAAATCTTCATCATTTGGCTTAAGACAACATGCTAACGATTTCCGTTCACACTTTTTACAGTCATAGTGGCAGATTATTTGCAGCATAACAACTCTGGATAATTTTTTATAACCCCTTCACTCAGGAGAGTTAGATCCATTTAAAAATAAAAATCAAATGTGGCAGAGAGTGTAAAGTACATATTTACAGCAAAGATGTAATGTGAAAGCAAAGTATTTGACAGCATGTCTCAAACAAGGAACTGGTCAGTAAATCCTGATTATTGTTTGGGCTTCCAACATTCAAAAGAAGAAAATTGCTTTAGATAAGTAGTTCATGGAAGAAGAGGTATCTTATATTTTGATAATGGACAAAATAAAAATATGTAAGTATATTCTGTACATACTGCACAGCTCAATGAAAATTCTATTTATATGTAGGTTTTGATGTTCATATTTAACAAACATATATGAAACTGATTCCTAATTCTTATGCAAAATCAAATGCACAATTACAGAGATGCAGCTTTCTGTTGACTTACCGTGCTGAAAAGAACAATGGGGACAGACATTATTGACAGGTGCTGCAATTACAGTTTCATAATACGGAACATTTGCTCATCAAGTAATGTGCTTCCCTCCAGACATCTTCATTACAAAAGAAGCAGGAGGTCATGTGATGAGTAGTGCAGCATGAATAATCTCTAGGTACTTTAATTCTCTATAGGTATGAAATTATGCCCTTTTAGAGTTCTCATCATTAAAAACCAAAAATTACTATTCAATTGTTCTTTGCTTCTTAAGATCATTTTACTTAGGCTATATTCTTCATATGATAAAATTATATTCGCTAGATGTGAATAAACTTAATCTTACAGAATACACAAGTCATTTTTTTATGAAGACATACCAGTCTGGTTTGGTCTTACATTGATTAATGTCCAGAAAACTAATGAATTTATTTCTTTCTTTCCAATTCTTTCTTCTGGTGTGAGTCTAGAATGATGCTCATGAAAAAATCCAGATTAAGACCACTGAAAACAAGTCGTGCCACACATCTGTCCTTAGTTTATTACTCAAAACAAAGTTGATTAGGCAAATAACCCACATTTTCAGGCACTGCATGGCATGCCTTACTCATTCTCCAGTAGCTTAGTAGACATCTCACATCTATATTCACTGAGGGTCTTGACTGAGGCATGTTCTCATACCCCTATAGCACAATAAAGTTGAGCAGAACACAGCCACAGTCATGCTCAGGAGTTCTCTACAAGGGATGTAGAGGGTTTACAGTACTTGAAGCAAGCCCAGAACCAAATTAACATAGACAAGGTAGGAAACTGTGGCACTGTTTAGCAAGCTGTAGGTTCACTGCAGTAGAACTGTGTGTGTGTGTGGGGAAACACACCGGAGAAAAAGCCAAATGAGGGATATAGATTCATACTGCAAAGAATTTTTAGCATGAGATAGGAAGAGGATGGGAATCTGCCTGGAGTTCATCAAGGAGCATCTTTCCTGCAGCCACAAACAGTGTAACAGATACCATTGAAATAATGAGGAGAAGCAGAGGGCAAACTCAGCATGTGTTATGACAACACAGGCAGTGTTAATAGTACCTTTGAAGATAAACCCAAGAAGCTTGCCATTGATAGTGGAAAAAAAAAGGAGGAACAGCTTGAAGGAAATAAGTAGATGATAAAGGGTCAGAGCAGCATGTGAACAGACAGAAGAGCAAAACTACAGAAGCTGAAGTTAGAAAAAGGTTTTTCATAGACTAGAGTTTTATTCACCAAGAATTTGGAAGAAAAATGTACTTGTTTGTCTGTTTGTTATCTGTACAGATATTTTTTTCTTCTATTATGACAAGAAAGACAATGAAAGTTTTAAAAGTGAACTTTGAAGAGTGGGGAGAGATGGTAGTGTAACTTTAGAGTGAGAAATGGCCCAGGAAAGGCTAACATTTTGGAGAGATGAAAGACATCCCACTCTGCCTCCAAGAAGGATTCATACCAAACTAGGCTCTAGACTAGTTATGCCTGATAATTTGTGATGAGACAGGAGGAAGAGAGGCCAATATCCTAAGGTAAGTGATGGTATTTGTGCACTACTGCTGAACAGATAGTTTAGTGCACACAGATGGGACTATACTCATAAATGTGGACAAAAAGGGTTAAAGAACATGACAGTCTGGCTGAGAATAAAGCATTGATTCTTTGGATCAGTGAAGAAATAAAACTTTTACTTAAAGGCCAATAGGATCTCCAGACAAAGGGAAAGGCTGTGGGTGTTGTCTACCTGGATTTCAGTAAAGCCCTTGATACTGTCTCCCACAGCATTCTACTGGAGAAGCTGGCAGCTCATGCTTTGGACAAGTACACCTTTCACTGTGTAAAAACTGTCTGAATGGCTGGGCCCAGAGACTGATGGTGAATGGTGCCAGAACCAGGTGGTGATTAGTGTTCCCCAGGGCTCACTATTGGGGTCAGCCAGTATCAGTTTATTATCTTTATTGATGATCTGGGCACGGCAACCAAGAACACTCTCAGTCACTAAGTTCTGTGTTAGAGCTGATCTGCTGGAAAGTGGGAAGGCTCTGCAGGGGGAGCTGGACAGGCTTGATCGGTCGACTGGCACCAGTTGACTGAGGTTGAGTAAAGAAAAGTGCCAGGTCCTGCACTTCTCACAAGAACTCTGCCCTGTGCTACAGGCTAGGGGAACAGTGGCGGCCTGGAGGAAAAGGACCTCAGGGTGCTGCTGGAGAACTTGCTGAACATGGTCCAACATGTGCCCAGGTGGCCAAGAAGGCCATTGGCATCCTGGCCTGTATGAGCAATACTGTGGCCAGCAGGACCAGGAAAGTGATTGTCTCCCTGTACTTGGCACTTGTCAGGCCACAGCTCAAGTCCTTCATCCAGTTCTGAGCCCCTCGCTACAAGAAGAACAGCAGACAAGGGCAGCAAAGCTGGGGAGGGGTCTAGAGAGTGAGTCATATGAAGAGTGGCTGAGGGATTAAAGATATACATCATCAGAATATCCTTCTTTAATTAAATGAGTATAATGTGTTTCAAAAAGCAGAAATGGTACAAATTTTTTGCTTCAATTTGCAAGAGTTCTAGGGTCTTCTGAACCATATTTTTAAGTAATATCATGTTGGAGTCCTTTTTATATGTGCTAGGGATATAGTTCACAGAGCATAAAAAACCTGTACTGGCTACAAAGTAGTATGATCAGTCAGTATCCTTTGTAGGCTTCTTCCTTCTCATATTCGCACTGTCAGCTAACGAGGATTTGCTTTAGAAGTACTTATTATGTATTTTTAAAGTTTTGTTCTGAATGTCTAGTTGCCACATTGTAGAATTTCAAAAGAGAACGATCAGCATGCAATATAATCATATTAATTGAAACAAAGAGTTCTTATACTAAATTGAGGGCACTAAACTTAATTTTATCTTATCCTTTTAATTGTCATTTGATTTGATGGTTTGATTGAAATTATTTCTGCAAATATTAACACAGAAAAAATAGGGAGATAGACTTTCCTCAAAACATTCTCAGAACTCATGCAACTCACAACAGAGAGAACCTATGTGACCAGGACTTTGCACTTTCTGATCACTCTGCTATTTCTCCAACCCAAAGTATCTCTGAATTTGCTTGGTAACTTGACCTCAATTTTGCATTCGTGGGATGATCTGAAAGCCACGGGTCCAAGTCAGGAGAATGACCATACAGCATCCTAATGGAGGAGTGTCCAAAGAAGTGCCCAACTCCACTCAAGCTTGGCAGTAGCAGAAGAACAGTGTAACCTGGACAGTGTAATCACACTTTTACACACACACACAATTATTCAAGCTGCTTGCACATTTATTTATTTATTTTTTTGGGGTAACCTATATTTATACTATCTTGATGTTTAAATTGTACTAAAGGGAAAGTTAAAGCATTTGTCCTCAGGACACATAATTGACAAAAAGTTGTTACTATCTCTGCACTACACAATTTCACCAGCCCTCACAGGAATTCTGTTGTTCTTGCATGCTTTATACAGGTTTACATCAAAGCTTAATACTCTTCCAAGAGATGAAATATTATCTGGATTAAATATGCCAATACTTCAAAATTCTGCCTAAAGAGATTTGAAGCACTAAACATTTAAGTAGGACTAGAGTACCCCTAGAGATTTATACTATGTGCCAATGTATATAAAAAGGACCAAAGAAAACAAGAACACTGCACAGGCAGCAAATGCTAGGGGCTCCAATTTAAGTGTATGATAATAATAATACTGATGTTGCAACTGTTTTCCCACAATAAAGCTACAATTTTCAGCTAGATTCAATATGCAGATGAAGATATGCTTGTTAAGTGCTCAGTACATATTATTTCTTAAAAACTTCAGTGTTATATCTTGCGCTACTGCAAAATAGCCTAATTATTAACTTCAGTGGAGCTAAAAAAACAATTGACTTTACAAGCAGATGCAGTTTTTCAGGTTAATGCAGTGGTCAATTAAGTAACAGTTACAACTTCCTTAAATGAATTTAGTTTTTATATGAAGTTGTGAGTCCTTCAGACTTAAACTTCTGGGTACAGCAAGTAGAGAAACATATAATCCATGTAACCCACTCACACCCAAAGACTGCAAAACCTGTTCAATTGTTATTGCTTTGATTGCTACAATGATGTTTGCTATCACGCTATTTTTATATATGGCACTTATCTTTCATATACCCGCAGTAAATACTTCTGCTTCAACTCAGCTGTGTTTGCTGACAGTCTGCTATGGAGCAAGTCAGTAACACAAAGACAATAATCTTTCATCTGCATGGGGAACAGTCTGCTCCGAAAGAATGTTTAAGGAAATAAATGTTTTTGACAATTTTTATTGAATTTTGGAGTCAGGAAACTACATATGTATATACACTCCATTTTGGTCAAGGTAATCTCTTCAATTAACACTGCAAAAAAGAGTTTTGTTCAAGTGACAGATGTTGATGGATTTTCTTTTAATATTCCCCTAGTTCTAATACAGATTTACTAACTTTGCTTAGAAATGTAAGTGCTCCTAAACATTGACTATTTTTAACATACAGAATAATGTACAATAAAAGGTACTTACCAATTTTGCAATGTCATTCACATCATCTGTGACTGGATTCCCGCAGGAACTCTGGGCTTTGACAAGAGGATTAAGTAGGAGTAGTTGAAGACAAAAGCAAGTGATAATCCAAGTCTGTTCAGTAAAAAAGAAAAAAGGAAAAAGAAACAAGAAACCCCAAGTGAGCAATCACCAAATATGAAGTAACAAGAGATTGTGGTAATGTTTTTCATATGTGAAGTCTAGAGGCAACAATACTCTTTATCCTTCATGAAGGCATACTTGTACTATTACAATATCATCTTAATGGAAGGAATCCACAAAAATGCACTTAATTGATGTTTTCTGGAAGCAAATATCTTTAGAGTATTAATGGAAAGCCTAGTACTGAGCCATCAGGTTACTTGCACAGGATCACACTTAGCTGGGTTTTTGCAAAGTTTACGCATACCAAAGAAGAGGAAAACACAAACTTTGCAATATTTTTTATCATCAAAATACAGTTAATTACACACTTGTCATTCACCTGATAGATCTGCGGTTGTAATGTGATAAATGATAAGGAACAAAATTATACCAGATTACATCAAGACAAAAGGAGAAAGTTAATAATCACAGCCATTTCGTTTGAGCACTTAAACTGCAAGCAAACCCACAACTGGACTCTGCCCAAATACTGACATCTCAAGCAGCAGTACAGTACATCTTCTCCAAGTGACGTGCTCTGGCCTCTCAGAAGTGCCAGCTTGGCTTTGGCACTACATTCCCCTCCTAAATCCTTTTGGAAACAGCAATGCAATGTACTCACACAGCCTTGTGAGACTCACACAGAAAAGCACCAGATAACTAACTAGCTGCGATGCACCTGGGTGTCTCCTTGGCTACACTGCCTGAACTTCCTCGCCTTCTGTTGTTCCTTGTGCTTCACTGGTTTCCCACAGAGCCCTGTGCCAAGTTTAAGCTGCAGATCTTTATTTCCAGAATGCTAAAGCATTTAAGTTATGGATAATCAAAAGTTGCCTCGGGTTGTGAAGCTTCTTGTGCCAGCTGACTGAAGCTGTCAGCAAAAGCCGATGATGGTGTACATTTATGGCAAGTATGGAATTTGCCTGTGCAGGCTCCTAAGCCTCCATAAGGGCAGGACTGAGATCAGAATTTGCTTTTGCACAAACTAAGATACAGCTCAGCTCCGTCTGTTCTGTGTGACAGGTAGAGAACTCCAGCCTCCACCCTTGCCTTCATATGCTCCCCAACCTTTCCAAGTAAGACCAAAGGAAATGAACCAACAGCGACACAATTCTCCAGGAAAACAAGAGAAAAATCATGGATTAAAAAGATGAACTATCATTATAGTAATCTGGAGGGTTTAAGAAAGAATGATAATAAAGATTGTTCAGGAACTTCATAAACTTGACAGAACAGTGCCAGGCACTTTACCTAAAAGAGCTGTTAATGACAAGACTAATCTCTTTCTTGTATATATTATCTCTTAAATCTTGTATCTATCCTGCAAGTAAAACTGGTCGTTTGCTTTCTTAGAATACAGCTTCCTGACACATTTAGGTAACATCAGTGTGGGCTGCTGGTAGAAAAGACAATCCAGCTTCCTCTCCCTACCTTTGGCACTGGCACTGATGGCTTAGTCAGTTGTACCAGGCTGACAACCTCCATTTTTGTTTTCCTGTAGCATTCTTCAGCTTTCTGATCCAAGTAACTGACACAGTTGAAATGCTCTGTCAAAGATGAGACAAGCCAGGACTGCAGATTTCAGTGGAGCCTGCACTTGCCTTTCCCTAAACTGTACTCTCAGACACCACAGAGAAAGAAATCAAAAGTATTCTGAGCAAAGTGAATTTACAATATTCAAGATGTCTTTTGAGAATGTCTCTTGCTTCAACAAAACTAGCACTTAGAAATACTTTTATTTCAATATTTGTACAAATAATTACTGAACATATTTATCAGTGTGAAGGATTGAGAATAATGAATAGTTCATCTTACAAAATTTCTGTATTTTATGCTACACAAAGCTTTGCAGTTATATATATATATATATATGTATACACAATTTGAGCTCTGGGGAAATGCAAAGATGCTGTTAGTTTTAGAAAGAACCTTTGAGAGCTCCTTGCAGTGTATTAGAGCTCAAAGATATTTAAGAACTGGTTTTAAGTGAGCAAGAGAAAAGTCTGCCTTTCCTACATAAGCTCCAGAATCACAGAAGAAACAAAAGGTGACCTCAAGCTAGCAGTCTACTACCTCATTCACAATTTTTGGAAATAAATTGCTGTAAAAAAGGCAAGAAGTTAATGACAACTAGCTCCAAAGTGAAATAACTATACTGCTTTCAAGAACAAAAGCTCAGTAGTTCAACCTTTGGAGTACAACAGTGCACTATCAGTGACACTGGCAGGCACCTTTCCCTGACGTGTTCATTGGAGATGGAGCTCACACCAGGAACTGGCAATTTCTTTATTGGATTCCTCAGCATTGATTAGTATGTAAAGATAGAATTTGTTCACTGAACTGTGTCATGGTCATAGGATGATGTTCAACCTAACAGTCTAATAATCAAAAGTATAACAAAATTCTTTAACTAGAATTTTAAAAAATTCTTTAATTAGAATTTAACTATTTTTCAGCAGATCAACTAAGTAATATTAATAAACACATTAGCACAGTCACACAAATAAAACCAGAACTTTGAAGCACCTTGTAAATTTTTGTACTTCTGAATATAAAGAGAGCCCATACATGAAGCTTAAAATCACTATACATTTTATTATTAAGTAAATAAGAATACTTTCTCTCTTATGTAAATAATGGGATTTTGAATAATTTTATAACCGCTATTGAAACCAAATGATTTTTAAATTCTGAGAGTATTTGAGGTTTTTCTTTATTATTTTCTCCCTGTGTCATCCAAAAGGAACTGAAAATCTTCAAAATACTGCTAGTTTCGACATGCCTATTATACAAAATCTTTTAATTATTTGCACTTACAAAATATTTATATTACGCATGCCTTCAGGCACATTATATGTAAGGACTGTACAGATCAAAGAGTTGAGCTATTTTTGTGTTATTTACTAATGACCAAACCTGCTGTTTGAGCAGAACTTGACTAGACTGAATTAAATCAAGGACTGAACAAAAGAGAACCTTAAACAATAGCTTTATAAATAGAGATGCCAATTTTATACTTTACTAAGCATAAATAAAAGTTACCTACACAGCACTCACAACAGATTTCCATATTTAATTACCCCTAAGTTAACATGGTATTTTTCAAAGCTGGCCTCAGAATTTAATCACACATCATCTACTAGCATCAAACTGAAGACATATAGAGACAGGAGGCAGACCTGTACACCAAAGCACCTCTTCCTATTTTCGGCTCAAAATCATTCAATTGTCTTTAGATTCTGAAAACTCTTAAATAATGAACATTTAAATTTGAGCAAGGGGAAAAAAAATAACGATTAGACTCAAAAGGATAAAATAAAGATTTCAAGTATACACATTTGTTTATTCTGCAAATGATTTCCACTATTGCTTGTAAGCCATAATCTAGAATTTCAGTAAACAACATTTTAGAAGCTTAGCTAGTGATCCAATGTGTTGAAGACCATCCTTTCAGTAGTAAATCAACATCCTTTTCATTATGTTCTTCGTTTACAATCTGAAGTGTTGACAAAGGCTGCTGAGTGAGTAGTTTAGCATCTCTTTCACTATGCATGCTGTGAAAGATAATCACGTTAATGTTCAGCCAATTCCTTAAGTGGAAAGCAGCTAGGGGAATACCACATTGCTTTATAAAACAAACTTTGGAAAGTCTGGACATTTCCAAACATCTAGTTTGTCCTGGTAACAATTCTAATCACAAGTAGGAAGAAGTCATCAAAAAAAAAGGCAAATAACAAACCACAAGAAAACATTAAGCACAGGGAGAGGTAGTAGCTACACAGATGAATGGGTTTTCCATTTTAATTTCCATTTCCATTTTAAAATTTCTTGTATTCAAATCATATTAAGCATGGAATTTTTCAGCCCAGTTTCCTGAGCAAATCATCCAATTAACCACTACCAAGACACACCTGAAGTAGGTTAGCTGGCAATATGGAACAATATTCACCCTGGGCCAGGCTTCCCAAAATTTTTTTCACTTCTGTTAATGTTGGAGTAGGAGCATCTTCCAATATTAGCCCCTCAGACAGTGTTCACATGCTGCTTTGCTGAGACATGGCTTGTGAACTTCTGCCACAGACAATATTGGTTGGTCAGTCATGGACAGCTAACTTAATGTTCATACTTAGACCCAAAAAGCCTATTGTAAGAAGGTTTAGAGAACATGTAAATAGCAAGAAAATATATTTATTGGCTTTTTTTAAATTTTTTTTTTAAACCACACAGCATCCAGATGCATAGAAGCACAGTAACTCTTTCCTATGTCTGTTTGGTTATTTAGCTGTGATAGAAATTAAATAATTAAAGTCATGAAAGATCTGTCTTAAACCAATTAAGAAATTAACTGCCAGAATAGAAAAATCTTTAAATGAAAGAAGAGAATTTATACAGAATGCATTCCAGTTGCCATTTTCACGGTTTTCAGTGACACCTTTACAACTGCAAATGGCCGTGCTAACTTGAATACCCCACATGGCTATACCTAAATACTGTTTAAATGGTAAACACCGCTCAAGCCCCCAAAAAACTGAGTTAAGTGTCTAAAAAGAAGTCACCCACTCACAACTACCTCTTTCTGGAAGGAGTGAAGTACTTGGCAAGCACATTTGGAACTGGCAATGTCCCCTGCACACTCTCAAGCACCCAGGAAATTACATCAGAGTAGCTGAAGGAAGCACAGTGTTAACTCTGAATAACGCACAGTTAAGTTTAGTGTAGATCCCCTGTCCATCCAAACTGGCACTAGTCTCACCAGATACAACAGCCTGCCAACTAGGGTGCTCTCTAAATGACACATCTGGCTTATGTTTCCTGTAACCAAGGGAATTCCAGCTCCCGGGAGTTGAGCTGTGTTCCTCTGCTATATCCACCTTGTAATTTCCATGGAATCATACAACCATTTAGGTTGGAAAAGACCTCTGAGATCATCAAGTCCAACCATAAACCCAGCACTGCCAAGTCTACCAGAAGACCATGCTCTTAAGTGCCACATCTACCACTGGAGCTGATTTCCAGTCTATTTTGGCCTCTAGGCTAACAGGGGAAAATGAGGGGTACGCTGGTACTCCTGGCCCTTATTTTTCACAACATTCATGCGCTTCACATTGTCAAGACAATATGTAGAAAAATAGACATGTTCACTGAACAGGCATCAGAATGTGTGTATCCTTGTCTCACACATGCTCTTCCATCTGGGCACCCTAACTTCAGAGAAGCTTCCCAGTCAACACGTGGGTTTTCTTTAACAACCTTTTGGCAGTCCAATGAACAAACTGCCTAACTCCAGCTCAGTGAGTCACTCTGCAGGGGTGAGACACCTAAAAATCTCTGGATCACACCCTCCATGCTTTGTTATGATTACAAAATCCAGATGCATATTTTTCTAGTGACTGATACCATTCTTCATTTTTTTTAACAATGATGTGTAGTAAGGAGTATGATTATAAAAGCAAGCAACAGAGTATCATTTTCTGCATTTTGATTTAAACACAGACTATAGAAATACTAATAGATCTTTTTCTGAGTAAGTTTTAGATTGTTTTGGACACAAAATATTTGAACATATATTTGGTTATTTACAAAACACAGTATATTTTGTACTCAGTTTTGCATGTATCTAAAATACATAATATGAGGGTACTTCAAGGGGTTAAGGGGAAGGAAATTAATAATTTCATACTACAAACATGAACAGGAAGAGGTGCCATGGCTACCTACATTCAAATTAGTTAAACAGGCAACCTGCTTTCACAGCTGCTTGATCTTTTTGTGACAACGCTATATTTGCCCTTCTGTGACTTTCCCACGCCTAGAATGTCTTCCCCCACACCTTTGCACTCACTTGTGTATCCACAGGGAACTCCTAGAATGACAAGAATGGGAGTTTTCATCTAACTGTTCATTTGGTGGCAGAATGTTAAAGTGGCATTTGCTGGACTCCACCAGCCATATGTGCAAAAGCAAAGCCAATTGCTGTATTCAGATGTTTATAGGCCAGTTCCCTTCTACAGTACACTCTTCATGAACTGGAAATAATTCTATTCAGGTCAATGGATAAAAGGTAGTCCCAAACCTGTTAAGTGCTAATGCAGAGCTACTTTTTCTCCAATATTTTTCTTTTTCAGCTGGAAGGAGAAGCCATTCTCTAGTTCTGCCAAGTTGTGCACATCTATTTACTGAATCAGACAAATTTAAGATACGTAGTCTTAACAGTGCTGAGAAAATGATGAGTCACACTATTCTTTCCCACCATCCAGACCTTGGGAAAACTGGGAATCTGCTTAAGACTATATGCCAACTTCATTTCATACAACCTCAGGCCAAATGCTATTATCCTCTACCCCTTGCAGCTCTTCTTGACAGACGCAGCTGGCTGCTCCAGCCAACGTGCTGCTGTTGCACTTGGTATGGAGCACTCAAACTCCAACTGAGGTTGGTTTGTGTGTTTCAGCTGAAACCAAGATGAATGTGATAAGCAAGAAGTG